ACTTACCATGCGTTTTACCATAATCCAATGAAATTCAAAAGGGTCAGCAGTGTATTGTCATGATTTATTTACATAAAAAGCTATGTTAGGTCGAGTTAAAGTGAAATATTGTAACGCTCCAACCGTGGTTATGTAAAGGAAGGGAATCAGAAAGCTTGTCATCTTCATGTTTACTTAGTTTACAAGTGTTGAATCTGGGAGTGCTCACACCCTTGGAATCATTCATGATAACTTTAGCAAGTAAATCTCTGCTATATTTTGTTTGAGTAAGAAGAATAGTTTCACTAGGTTAGTGATGAATCTCAATTCCAAGAAAATATTGAGGAATGCCTAGCTTCTTAAGTGAAAATGTCGTGTGGAGCTTATCAATGAGTTTATGAAGTAGGTATGACGATGATGTAAGTAAGATATCATCTACATATACTAATGCATACATTATGATATTGTGATGATGGTAGATAAAAAGAGATTGATCATATTAAATTGATATGAAACCAAATTTCATGAGAGCTTGGTGTAGTTTTTCATACCATGCATGAGGCGCCTATTTTAACCCATATATAACTTTGTTAAGTTGGAAAAACTAAGGCGACGTCTGTGTCAAGGAACCCCAGTTGTTGTCGTATGTAAACCTCTTCTTGAAGATCACCTTTCAGGAAGGCGTTATTGATATCTACGTTTTGTACTTCCCACTTACATGTGATTGCTAGTGCGAATATGATTCTGATAGTGGTAGGTTTACAACTGGAGAAAATGTCTCATGAAAATTTGTCTATGTTTTCTCGCCACCTCTTCATTCTGATGTGAGGTGTGCGGACATGTAAATCTACGTACTATGCCTTGTTCATTAAGTAAATTTGTGAAGGGATGAATTCACCTCCAAAGTCTGATTGTATTTCCTTGATCTTGCCATTAAATTGAGTAGACACATAACTTTGAAATAGCTTGAAAACACTTAATGCATCACTTTTGTGCTTGATTAAGGAGATCCAAGTATACCTAGAAAAGGCATCCAGAAAAGCAATATAATAGGAGTATCCACTGCTTGAAGGTGTAGGAGATGGTCACCGTAAATCAGTGTGGACAAGTTCGAACAAAGTAGTGTGCTTAGTTGTGGACAATGGTGCAAATAATTTGTGAGCTTTACAAAGATAACAAGAATGGTAGAAATAAAAAGGTTCTTTATTATTAACATGTAAATTACGCAAGCTCAACACTTTATGGATGGCTTTGGGATAAACACGTCCTAATCTAGCATGCTACATCGAAAGTTTAGCCAAGCTTGGACTATATAGTTTATCAGTAATGAGATCATTATTTGAAACTGCTACATTATTAACTAGAGGTTATGCATTATATTACTTGTGCTTCAAGTTACATCTTGAAGATTCCACCTTCTGAATGTTGAAGCAACATAGCTCACTTTCATCTAGAAATCCTTCAAGCATCACTTGACTAGATGCCTGATATTTCACAAAGCATTTGTTAGGATGGAACTCAAAATATAATTTTAATATTTGGAAAATTTTGAATCTGAAATGAGATTTCTAGTTGTCTTGGACACATGCAAGATATCAGCTAACTGCAAATAGAAATTTAACACAAGAAAGGAATGTAATTTGGTGTTTCCTATTGCTTGAACATCTAAGCTATGACCATTTCCAACAACTACCAACACATGATTTAGTATAAGCAAATTGGAAGATTGCTTGAACATCTAAGCTATGACCATTTCCAACAACTACTTTATTTGATCCAACACATGATTTAGTATAAGCAAATTGGAAGATTTATAGGTGATATGGCGAGATGCACCTGAGTCTACAAACCAAGCCTGAGACTCCAATCCTTGAGATAACTGTTGCTTGTCCTGGAGAGCAAGATAGGAATTTGCAGGTGAAGATGATATTTCTTGATTCTTGTTACCTTTTTGAGCATGATTAGTGCTGGTGGAGGTAGTGCCTTAATCCCGAGGTTTTAGTGGTGTAGGTTCAAAGTATTCATCAAACTTGAAACAATCCATCACTACATGCCCATACTTGATAGGTGAATTGAACCTCCTAAATAAGTTGGTCTGGTTGCTAGGAGCAACAAGTTCTTGCTGATATTTGTCAAGTTGAGCTTTCCACTTCATATATGTCCATCTTGTAATATGATGGACGTCACTCTATATAAACTCTTTCAAGGCTCTGTTTCTAATCAACGTGGGACTTGGGATCTTACTAATAATACACCTCTTCATTTAAATGGTGGGCCTAAGGTCCGATCGATAGGCTCTGATACCATATTAGAGTTTAATCTATATCATTCTTACAAAACAGACTTATAAGGTGTGGGGTACCACTCTATATAAGCTGTTTCAATGCTCTATCTCCAACCAATATGATACTTGGGATCTACCCAATATTTTACCATATACCATCATGATGAATATGTTGTATTCTTCATGAAGTCCTTAAAGCATTGAGGCAATTTGATCACACTCTAATATTCAATCACCAATAGCCATGAGTACATATGCAATAACTCTGACTCGAAGAACAAATTTAAAGATTGTTTTGGTTCCTTTCTTGCTCATATTTAACTCTACACGAAGTTGGTGAACTTGTGCCTTCATCTGAGCATTGTAATGTTTGTTCACCTTTCCCACACCTCATAAGCATGTTTACAAGAAACAACTCGAGAAAGCACAAACTCTGAGATGGTTGATAGTAACCAAGTGAACAAAGCTTGGTCTTTCCCGATCCATTCCTCATAAGCTTTAGACACAATGTTTTTAATCTGATCATTTTCATTCTTGAACTTAGGTGGAATGCCAGGGTTTACCACAATCTCGTGAAGTTTGCATGATCGAATTACACCCTCAATCTGTTGATTCTATAACATGAAATTATTTTCTTGAAGTTTAATCGAGAGTTTTGGAGCAAAATTGTTTGCCGAACTTGTAAATTCCATGACTTTCAACGTAGCTTGTGAAGTTTGAACTTCATGTTATGCACCTTGTGATGAAGTTTTGAGATTCACCATTGTTGATTCTCTCATTAAAAATTCTTGCTTGTGATGAACTTCATGTTAAAAGAACAAATTCTTAGAAGCTCTAATTAGAGCTGCTTCAATTGCAATTCTTGCTTGTAGTTGAAACTTTAGTTTCTGTGAAACACGATTCTCTGATGAAGAATTAACACACGTTCATGCTTGCATTAAAAATTATTTCCATAGAAATTTAACTAAATAAATCATATTCCTTGAAACATTATTCATTACATAAAAATTAAAAACATTACTACTAAGTAATATATAGTAATATGAAAGAATCACTTTGCTTTTGTTTTCTATGTGACACAAGTGATAGTTGTTGGAGGCAAGAATTTGTAGCCAAGTCTTTGATGCAATTGCAACCAAAAGTGAAATAACAAATAATCTTGAGATGGATCTTCTTAGTTTTATTGTAGATGATAACTTCTTATGTTGGTGTCTTCATCAATTTCTGAATCATAAGAAAACATAAAATATAAATATGCAATTAAACATAGTAATCAACAAAAGACTAATTAAAAAAATGTCATCCTAAATTGTGTTACAGTGCACATCCACTTATAATCAATTATATTATTTAAAATGAATTTTTTCGAGTTTGTTTTATTTTATTATTTAAAATGTAATTTGATGTTAGAAAAGTAAACTATTTTTATTTAAAAAACTGATTCTACTAAAAGGATGGTGGCGGGACGGAAATATCCGACCCATTCTGAATCTATTTGAGTTTTGATTCTTCATCTCTATTTAGGATGAAAGACACAGAATGAAGATTGTTCGAAAATTCAAGTTTGAATATGGAGAAGGTAAAAATCGTTTTCACCCCATCTCGTTGCCATGCCCAATCACCAAGGTTCAAACTTTGATATTCACGGACTTATGTTTAAGTTTCTAATAAGTATTACCACTTCATCTATAGACAAAAATAAAAGTCAAACATAAAAATAAATGTTTTGAAATTAACCTATTCTTATAGAATTAATTATCCTTGTGATCCTCTTAAATATCTCAATTTTTGTTTTTAGTCTCTCAAAATATTTTCTTCAAATAATGATCCTTCTAAATATCTCAAATTTCATTTTTAACCCCTCAAAATATTTCCTTCAAAGAATAGTCCTTCTAAAACTTTTCATCAACATTTTTGGTCTCTAATACTAAAACCGTCGTTAATTTGGTCACTAAATAATAAATCATCGTTAATTCAAAGCTAAGTTGTAACAACCGTCACTAAGTTGTACGAGAGATCAAAAGTGTAGATATAATTTTTTAGAAGAACCATTTTAAAAAAAAAATATTTTGAGAGACTAAAAACAAAATTTAAAATATTTAAGAGGAACACAATCATATTTTAGCAATTTTTATATCATTTGTAATTTTTATTCCTCCTCCCTATGGAATGGGCCGGTTTCTTTTAACAAAAAAATCTAAAAACTTATACACAAGAATGGGCCGGTTTCTTTTAACTTTTAACTCTTTTTTTTTTAATTTAAAAAAAATAATTTTTATGTAAATATTTTTTTTAAATAATAAAAGTTTTTCTTTAAAATTGATTTTTTACTAATTGAAAGATTAATTTTAACATCTTTCAACATAAACATATATTATAGAAAATTAAAATATATCAAAGCACAAAATTTTCAAAAATAATATATTTAAAAAATAATTTTTATTAAAAACTATTTAAAATAACTTTAAAATTAAGTGATTTTTAAAATTTTAATATTTAAAAAAAGTTTTAATAAAATGTTAAAATATTTAAAATAATATTTTAAAAATAACTATTCAAATTATAACTTTAATTAAAAACTCTCTTTTAACAAAAAAATATAAGACTATAAAAAAACTAAAACAAACAAATTCAACGTGGTTTGTCATAAATCTATGCATACAATTTTAAGCAAATTTATAATTGCTAAATAATTTGAAAGAGAATAGAGTTAGCATACTAACCTTATAAGCAATGATTACATTTTAATATTTGTAACATATTTGAGGAGCATGTCAACAACTTCATTTGAAACCTTTGAACCTGATTTCTTTAAGTTTTTAATCTTAGCATCTGTCTCTTCATCAAGCCTTTTTACATTTGTTCCTGAGTTCCCAGTTGTCTAACAAAAAATAATTGCAACTTATTATTTAAATATTTTTAAATTAAATTTTAAAAAATTGTAAAATATTTTCACACTTTTGGTAACATATAAAGTAAATGTTGTGTATACCTCTGAAATTGACTTTTGATATTCTTCTTCCATGTGAGTTCTATATTGAGCTGCCTCTTTCTCTGCCTCATCTTTTGCCTGCTTCAACCTTTGAGTCCTCACTAAAACCAAGTATACGATTGTTTATACATACGATAATCAGATGTACGAATTTAAATCTGTGACATTCTATTTATTTATTTTTAATAAATATATTTTTTAACTATATCTTATTTAACGATGTATCAGTGTCGTGTTTCTGTGTTCGGTTGTATAAGAATAGAAAACGTTGAATCTTACAATTTCTTGCAGTGTTAACAATGTGTTGAGCTTCTTGTTCAGCAGTTAGAAGCATTTGAATGCCACCTTGACCTTTGAAGGGATCCATGATAACTATAGATCAAACAAAATCAACATTCATAGAAATTAGAAAAAAATAAATCAAAATAGCATTAAACATTATAAATTAGATGAGAAAATCACAATAGTTTGAAGAAATTTAACATCAAGTTCTTACCAAAAGAAAGAAAACTATTCCAAAATAAGGTGTTGTAGAAATGAAAAACTTTGTTATCATTTGATGAAGAAATTGTTCTCAAATATTAATTTTCCGAAAAAAATGTAAAATAGTTTTGTTACATACCAAGTCAAACTGCGCACTTTGTGTGATGGGATTGGAAAGTTATTCATTAGAAAAAAATATTTGATTTATTATTGTTAAAAAATCAAAGAAAAATAAATGATTCAATAATTGATGTTATAATTTTAGAAAAATTGTTAATTTTTCATAGGGAAATTTTACAGGATAAGATAACACTATGAATTTTGAACGAAGCTATTGGATTGGCTAATTTTTACACAGCTCATGTATATTTTGTGAAAGACAAATATGTTTTGTTTTTTTTTCTTTTACATTCAATTATTTTTTTTCTTCACATTCTTACTAAATATCTCTCTGAAAAACATCCTCCCTAATTTGAAAGAGTATTTTTGTTAATATTTTATTTTTAAATTTTTTTCTCAATGTATTCCAAATTTTAAAATATACATCAAATTACTTCTTTTTTTCATTCTTCATGTTTTGGGTCGCCCGATAGCTCAAAAGATGAGAGGCTCAATTGCATGAGAGTCTAACTCAAAAGACACTTTTACGAAGTAAGTAACAACTAGGTAGAACTGTGCCAAAGGATCAGGTATCTGATCCCTTCCGTTCAAGGATCACCCATCTTCAGATTTGATCAAACGATTCTCCACATCTGACGCCAGAGGATACAAGATGGTTCTAACTGCCCCAATATATAAAGACCGTCACACACTGAGACTCATGATTCTCTCATTCATACGCTCAAACTACTTTCTCACTCATTCATTGACTTGGGCGTTGAAGGGATAACCTTGAAAATCCATCTCTGCTCTGCCGTACTAGAAGATCACTCCATCATATTAAAAATATTTTTCATTCGATCTCCACCTATTTATTGTTTATATACAGAACATTAATGTCGTATATGAGAATCACCTCATGATTCTCACGTATCTCCACGATTATACCCTTCTGATTCTAAAGTCATGTATTGGCTAGAATAATCTTTCTAGGAAAACGATGATAATAGCTGATCTAATTGTTAAAATCACCAAAAGTTCATCAGCCTCAAAACCATTCTCCTACCTCGCAGTCTCTCCGATTCGTGTTGGATCATCTAGGAAAGAGAAAGTAAATGAAAAATGTACGAGACTAGGCTCTTCAAGATTGTTTATGGCGAAGATGATGCACTAAGAAAAATATATTTTATGGTTCTAAGAGAACAAAAAGGTGGATATGATTCCCAATGCAGTGCTTCCATTGCTCGCAATTTGCGCAATACCTAACCACATCGTCATATGGATTCTTATTGATGACAAAAGCTCTTACGACGTCATGTACACAGACGTATTTATGAGATTGGGGATAGGTGATATGGATCTCACATCATATGAAGGTAGGAGTTCAACGACTTCGCCACTCGCCCACGCAGAGTCGTAGAATTAGTGGTTTCTTTTGGTGAAGGGATAAACACGAGGATCGTCTATGTGTGTTTCTTAATGATCCCTTGCAAAAACGTCTACAACTGCATATTTCGAAGGTTTTTTTTTCATGACGCTAAACGTAGTGACTTTTGATATCCACCTGAAGATGAAGTACCACAACAATTATGGCGAATCAATTTCATTCCAGCAGATTTACATGGACCCCGCCTAATTCACAAAACTTTACTAATGGATCCTCTAGTAACCACCATAACTCCTAAGAAGAAAGTGAAGAAAACTCATGTTTGTTGCTCTCACGGATGACCTCGATATATGTGAAAATGATATCATACTGGGTGAAGAGCTTAATTCACCATTAGAGCCCAAAGATCCATCTGCATATGAGCTTATTTATAGGCCTCAGTGAAGAACATACTCATTGAATGCCTCAGAGCCAATGTTGATCTTTTGCAATCTCTTCAGACGAAATCTCCGACATAGACCCAAGTGTAGCCTGTCACTGATTGAATATTGGATTGGGCCCTAATATCTTATGTTGAACGACAAAGATATTTATTTCATGATGTCACTATTACGAGGTCACTTGGAGGCACAAATATCTTTATTTTGGAATATTGTGATTCTTTGGATAATTATTTTTCATTAGGTCATCATTAGGGGTGGAAAACGGGCATGTCCGTCACGTTTAGGCCCGTCCCAATAAAGCCTGAAAAAAACGGGGTGGGGCGGGACAGACATCTTTGAGGGTGTGGGTCTAAAACATTGTCCTGTCCCGCATAAAAGTGGGGGCAGGACGAGACGGGCCCGCATGTATTGAATCTTTTAGGCCTAAAAATTACAAAATTATATGTAAAAGCCCACAAAAAATGAGGCGAAGCAGAACAAACACATTAGAGAGTGCGAATCTAAAATGTCGACCTGCCCTACAAAAATGTGCGGACAAAACAAGTATGTCCAACGGACTGGACCTATTTTGTCACCCCATTTATTATATAGGATCAAGATGAAATATGTCATTTATTTGTCAAGCTATCTCAGATGTTTGACTAGGTACGAACAATAACTATATTAATAAAATATAAACAAAATGTCACAATAATGTCTAGTAAAATATTAAAAAAAACACTTAAAATTATATCTAGTAGGTTGTAAAGTGAATATGCATTTATAGATATCTTAGAAAATTTGGGTGTTACACCAGCTTATTGGCCATGAATTACTACTGTATTCCAATGATATAAGAAAATTTCACATCTTTACATGTTTCCAGCTCCATCGGGAAACCCCATACGACCAGTTCATAAAGAGATCCTCAAGATAACACATGCTACAATACTATTGATGTGTTGCCTCGATATGCTCATATCATCACTTTAGTCCAGGGTGCCAACGATAAAGAATAGGAATAGGAATGAACATCTGCATGAGATACATTGTAGGTGATATTAACAGAGACACAAGGTGTTCTATAATTATTGAATATTTAATGTATCTGACATATAATATTGTCTAAATACATCATTTATTCAGTAAATATAAATTTTTTGTTGTTGTTTATAATAGTGATCCAATGGTGTATAACTATTCAACCTTCTTAGTAGATAGACTATTTCATATTATTTGTTTACAGTTTATGAAACAATTGAATTTAATTTTTAAATAATTATTACTCCCTCCATCTCACAATGGTCTATTTAAAATAAAAGATTGTCCTAAAATAAATTACTCATTTCAAATTTCAATACATCTTTTTCAATTTTATCCTCTAATTATTATTACTTTCACCATTCCTATTACATGATAGAAGCACTTTAGTAAAAATATCATTTTCTCTTTCATTTATTCATTTTTTTTAATATGTGTGAAATGGTCAACTGAGTCACTCATTGTGAGACGAAAGGAACATTATTTATTATTTATGAGTTATAAGTTACTCCTTCTGTCCCAAGTTATAAAAAACATAATTAATGTTGTATGAGACAGAGAAATTATGCATTACTTTACAATTTTACCCTTCATTTGCTATAGATGAAAGAGAAGTTTAAAGAATTTAAAAAAGAAATGGTAATAAATTATAGAGGGTAAAAAAAATCATTAATGTTACAATGAAATTGTAAAGTGATTTATAATTTAGAATAATTTTTTTTAACAAAGTAATTTATAATTTGGAATAGAGTGAGTATAAGATAAGGATATTTTATGAAGTTGCATTACCTCTACCTTCTAAAATTTATATTTTGATTGTTTGTTTTTTAATTTTTGGTTTGTTTATATTGTTATTGAGTCTCTCCACTTGATTGCGCACATTAGGATTGAGTTCTAAATTTGTTTTTTTTTTTCTGCATGCATAATTCAATCCGTTTGATTATAGTGTAAGCAATATGTTTTTAGTCAATTTATTAAGTTTTTAATCAAGAATCACATTTAAAAATAATTTAAGTCATGACAAAGTTGAAATCTCAAAAACACTTTCAATTTTGCAAAAGTTGATATTCTGTAAGTGTGATCCGAATTACACACTTTGACGACTCAAATAAGTATTATTTAATGTGTATAGATTGTTTTATGTTGTCATGATTCTAATCAGACAAAGAGTGCATATTTTTGGATTTAGATATGTAAATGTGATTTAAATAATATGACTCGAATCATGACTCAAATCAGAATACGTATGACTCAAACCACATAGTTGATTATTTTTTATTTCTTAGGTCTTGATTCAAATTATTTGATCTTTTGACCAGTCTCATACTCATTGTTTATTTATGACTCAATTCAAATAACATTTTCCTCTCATTTTTATGCTAGATCTCCAACACATATAAGAACCATTTTTCTCAAAAATCCATTTAGCTTTTAATTTTAGAAATGTAAAATCTTGTAGAATTTGCTAAGCACACTGTGAGCTCAAACTGTCATGTTGGAATATGTGAAATTAAGTGATAATGAAGTCTTATTTATGTGAATATTTCTTATGCACTTTAATGCTATATGTTTGATTCAAGACCTAATCAATTTATAATTGAATAAAAGTTTGTTAATTTGCAGTAATATTTTAAATAAAAAAATCCTAAAAATTAATTTGGTTAACTAATTAGTAGACATAAGTCATTCTAGCCGTAATAGTTAACATAATAAGTTTTACTTGACTGCTTAGACAACATAAGAGAATAGTAATGAATCATTGTATTGTATATCCTTACATCATTCACAAACACCACAGAATTTTTAATTTTGATCACATATATCATATCACCACACTTCATTACAAATATTTAATGAATCATTAAATGAACTATTTTCCAATCGTTTTTCCCAAACTTTAATCTTTATTTTCATATAAAAAGTCGACTTTTGTCC